ATCTCCCGGTGGGGAGCACTGGTGTCCCCACAAGAGGACAATCACCCCATCCCTGAGAGCAGCAGCGAGGCCAGGGGTCAGAAGGGAGACTCTGGAGGGCGGAGGTGAATCTAGGTGACCCTCAATGTCCCACTGGGGTCTGAAGTCCTGGACTCTCCGGAGCCGCCAAACCAGTGCTGAGGGGTGCAGGGAGTGGGAGGGGCCGTGCCATTATCCTGACCATGTCCTGCCCATTTCCAGGGGGCACTGCCCTCGCCACCCCCTGCCCTTCCACGCAGAAGGCAGCTCCTCCCCCTTCACAGGAAAGCAGGCCACTCTGCCCTCCAGTGTTGGGGTTCCAAGGCACCCCCACTTCACGGTTCCCCATCCCAGACGGTGTGCACCTGACTCAGGCTTACACAGTAGCCCCCCGATCCTGCGCCAGATGCCAGAGGGCAGGTGGGGAGAGCCAGCTGCCCGGCGCACCACGCCCAGCCATGCCATCAAGAGCAGGCTCATTTCCTGTTCCCATCAGTCTTTCATTCACCCATTCATTCACTCCCATGCTGCATGACTGAGATGCAATTCTCAGAACACAGAATTCACCACTATGACATGTGCGATTCCTTGGGTTTTACTGATTGCCAGACTTGTACAGCTACAGCCACTATCTAATTCCAGCACATTCTCACTGTCCCCAGGAAGTCGCCACCATTAAACCATCCCTCCCACTCCCCCGGTGACCGCTCCCTGTCTCTCTCAAGGTACAGCACCTCCCCTCCTTCTCTTGGGTCAATTCTGCCCATTATTTTCCTAGTTCTATGTACTTTACCTACTTAGTTTATATTTTTCCTAGACGACATCTCAAAGTCTTCAATTTTATTGAAAGTTTACATGAAGTGAAATAGAGTTGTATGAAGTTTTCTTTACAACTACTCAGAATCTCTCCCAACGTTCTAGTTTCATGTTGCTCTTTGTTTTCCACTCTGTCTCTTCTGCTGTTTATTTCATCACCAAGTCTGTGAGGGGTGTCACTAGTTCCTGGGTTTTCGTAAAGAACCAGCCCTAGGATTCTGAATACTTTCGACTGGTTCTGGCTGTTTGCTTCCTGTTTATTTTCTTTTACCTTTTAGCCTGTGCTTTCATCTCTTCTGTAAAATACTCTTCTAGGGCGAGCAATTGACTCCTTTACCTTCAGTCTCTTATTCTACATGAGTGTGTGGAAGGCTTTCCTGGCTTCCCAGGGAGGAGCGCTCCTTTGCAGTGCTCTAAGATTAGTCTCTGATTTCAGTTTTCATTTCTTTAAAGGCCATGAATGTAGCGCAGATCTGTCTTCCTGAGTCCGTTCCCTCAGTAAAAGTCTTCATCTTCATTGAGCGCACGCCCACCCAGGACAAAAACTGCATCTCCCAGCATTCCTTGGATGTGATCATGTGACTGGGTTCTGACCAATGGGAAGCAGGCAGGACATGGAGCAGCCTGGGAATCGGCCCTTGCCCCTTTCTTTGGGACCAGGTGGGGGGAACCCCGGGGAGCGTCTAGGAGGGCGCCCGTCCTGGGGTGATGGAGCAGTGAGACCTGGAGCCTGACCCCACACAGCCCAGACTTTCATGTCGGGAGTGGGCGTCCACTGCAGCCACCCGCTCTTCTGCTGCCACAGGGCCTCTTCTCCAAGACAGAGAGGGCGCCATAGGCGCGTTCCAGGCGGGAAAGGGGGTGTTGTGGAGGAGAGGAGGAAAGCAGCAAAATCTTATTCTAATTTTTGTAGAGCATGACTAGTAAAAATTTCTAGATTTTTTTTTTAAGTTTTCTTTGTAACTAAGTAAGTACATGGGCCTAGTTTCTTTGAAAAAAATGTGTGATCCACTTGAAATATGGAATGTTTTATAAATGCATTAAATTCATTATGGAGTTCAGTTTCTCTAAAATCTGATTTATTTGCTTAGAATCTACTAAGTTGGTCTGGTTCTGAAGATGGTGCCGGCTTTCCTACTGGACGCCTGCTTTATTAAGATCTCCTTGTCCACTTAGACAACGTGGCTCTGTGTCGTCAGCCGCTGAGTGGATTAGTGTGTGACACAGCCTGGTTATTTTATCTCATTCACAAATCATTCTTTCAGTTGTTCAAAATGTTCCTCTTTCCCATCTAATGCCTTCAATCTTCAAGCCCACCTCCTGTGCCCAGCTTCCCCGTGGACCTGGCGTCAGACACCTATTTTCCACCCGAAGGGAGGGAGGGAGGGAGGGAGGGAGGGAGCAGGGAGGGAAGTGCAGCCTGGGGTCCGTTTCGCAGCGGGGAGTTCAGTCTCACAGCACCATGGCAACACGTGGTTCATACCCTCGCTGCCCATCCTGGGCCTGGGGCTCAGGGCGGTGCTCGTGCCTCTGGGCTCTGTGTGGACACTGCCTGACACTTCCAGCTCCCGGTGACAAACGGCCCATGGTGGCCAATCAGATGTGACCAGGGCATGCTCCCACCAGGGACTCTGCCCCCGCCACCCTGCCTGGGCCCTGAGCCCCCAGGACTGGCAGCAAAATGAGTCTTCCCCTCACAAAGTTAGTTGCCTCAGGTATCTTGTTTTAGTAATGAGAAGCTGAATAATAAAAAACTACACAAGGTTTTTGCTTTTTCCTTCAAGGTCAGGAATTTGATGAGAACATTTCTCACCAGTCCTGCACCAGTCTTGGCTGCAACTTTGTGACTGACTGACCGATTGATTGATTGATTTCCTTTTCCTTCCCTCCCTCCTTCCTTCATCTGGAACCCAGGGCCTCCTCATCAGGGCAAAGACCTTTTATCTGCTCTCTGTTCTATTTCCCTGTCACCTGCACCCGGATGCTGGCTCTGTCCTCGAGCTCCTTCCTTCCCTCTGCATTTTCCACTAGTCCCCCTCAGTGTCTGCACCCAGACTCAGGATCCAGAGACACTAATCCCTCCTGGGGTTCAGCCTCGAGCCCGGTGCTTGGCAAACCCGAGTTTCGGGTTCTAGAGCACTTTCACGTACTTGCTCAATGCTCGTGTGTGTCCAAAGTGTGGCCGTGCCACCCGGGGCCTGTGCCCAGGGTCTGCTCTGCCCTCACTCCCTTCTCCCATTGCAGAGTTGGGTCTGCAGGGCACTATGTTCTCTGCTGCCGTCGCAGTGGGGTCCTCTCAGCTGCTGAGATCAGAAACAGCTATGGCCGTGAGGTGGCTCCTGGAGGTTCTGCCCAGGATGAGGAGACCCACCAGCACCAAAACCAGGTCCTCAGACCAGGAGCGAGGCAAGGGTCCCTCTCTGTGCTTCCATCCCCTTTCTGGCGGTACTGAGGATTGAACCCAAGGCTTTCCCACTGAATTACATCCCCACCCTTTTTATTTTGAGACCTCAGGCAGGACTCAAACTTGTGATCCTCCTGCCTCTGTCTGTATTTTTCCTTAAAAAGAAACCCATTTCCAGTTCCGTCCATGGACGGGCCCTCGAAGCAGGAAGTACCTAAAAACAGTGGGCACCCAGGGGACACGCAGGGTGTTCCCAATACCGGGTCCTCACCAGATTCCAGGAGCCGGGAAGATACCAAGGATGTCACCAAGGACACCTGGGTTCCATCACAGGGGCGCAGGGACCATGAAGGGCATCCCACTGGCAGTGTGCAGGGTGAGGTGGGTCCCGGGAAGGAGGAGCAGATGGCGCCCCAGCCCCACCCTCCCCAGCTGTCCCCACTGATGGCCTTGGGCTGGCAGAGCAAGCAGAGGCCAGGGGCTGCAGAGGACCAGCACATACACCTGCCACCAACACAGGCCCAGGTGAGCCGAGCGAGTGAGCGCTCTGCTCTGCACATTCGCACAGCAGGCAGCCAGGTCCTTTGTCACAGCCTCTTGGGGGCCCAGAGGACCCCAGCATGGCACCCCAGACAGCGTGGGGCCACAGGAGCACCAACCTAGGAACCCTCGGCCACCTGTGTAAACACAGGGCGCAGGACCCCATAGCCCAAAGACGTCCAGCCCATGTTCCCGGGCACCCTAGAGGGGCAAGCAGCACTCGGCAAGCCGCAGACCTGGAGCCCATGGCGTCCCCAGGACGCCACCCCCAGGCTCTTGTGCATCTGCTCCACAGGGCCCGGGGCCTCCGTGTTGGGCACAAGGGGTAGGTGGAGGGGTGGGTCATGTCATCATGCTCAGGGCATGCTGTCCCCACAGGGTGACCTTGCCAGGCCCAGGAGCCAAAATGCAGAGCCGATGCCCTTGGCAGGACAAGCAAGAACCCACAGCTGCCCCAAGGTGTCAGGAGCTGGGCGGGGCTCCTTGGAGTCCGTGCCCCAGAACCTTGGAGCGGGACCTTATTTGAGACAGAGTCTCCACAATGAGGCCATCCACCCTGAGGAGAGGGGACAGACACACACGTGGAGAGGGGCACCAGCAGGAGGAGCTGTCCACCAGCCGTCTCTGCCACGCCTGGTCTGTCCTCTGGCCCCAGACTGCGAGATGATCCAGCTGTGCGGTCTCGCCCTGTCATGGCACTTTGCTATGAAGCCTTCGGTGACCAGTACACCTTCTCTGCCCAGGCTGGGCCCCTGCCTGGCACACCCTGGGACACATTGCCCTCGGTGGTGACATTGGTGGACCAGGAGGGCACCATGGGACTGCGCAGGTCCCTGGATGGGAGTTGGTGGTGTCCTAGGGATGAGAGAGAAACTGAGGCCGACCGTCCTCCTGGAGTCAGGGCCGAGGAAGGCTGAGAGCCTGTCTGTGTGGCCCTGGGGATCCATCCTTGTCACCCGCCCAGCCTGGACCTGCCTTGGAGCGACCCTGCCACCCTGCTCCTCCCATCCACGCCCACTTTGGTCCTCGCTCCCCTGGATACCAGCCTTCGGCATAGACCTGAACTCAGCTCCCCTCTGCCCCACCCTGCCTCAGTTTCCCTTCTGTGAAGCCAACTCAAGGCCTCATGATCCAGGGGAGGCCAGTGTAGATCCGGGGTCCCACTGTGGGGCCAGGGTCCTTCCCTCCCCACGGAGGCCCTCGTCATAGCAGATGGGAATAAAACCCTTTAATAAACGGCTATGGCGGGTGCGATGTCTGAGAGGGAAAACCCAGAGCCAGGCCCTGGGCAGGGGGTGTGGGCTCCTAGTACTTGAGCAGCCAGCGCGGCCTGTGGGGGCTCAGCGACGTGAGGTAGGTCCACCACCAGGGCTTGCTCCCGCCGGCCGAGGGCAGCCTGCGCGCCCCGAGCGGCTCGGGATCCTGCTCCGCGGGGTCCCTCCGGGGGCCCAGGCCCCCCCGCACAACCCGGAAGTGGGGCGCAGCTCTGCGGAGCGCAGGCAGGAACTTCTTGGGGCCTGTGTCCAGGGGCTGCAGGATGAAGTCCACGCGTCCAGCCCTCTTCATGCCAAGGGGGATGGTGACCCTCTTCGCGAGTTTGGCGTAGCCGGGTGCCTGCGCGATGACCACGTGCGAGCCCGGCGGGAGGAGTCTCCAGTAGTCTCCATCCGGAGCTTCAGAGAGAACGCAAAGGACTCTCAGCAAGCCCGGCCGCGGCCGCGGTCTGAGCACCAGTGATGGGTGTTGGTGGGGAAGGCCATCACGAGGGCACAAAAAACCCCACGTTTGCCCCTGCCTTCGCGTCCAACCTGCTTTCCTTCCACCTTCTCTCTGTCAAACTCCTGTTCATCCCTCAAGGCCCTGCCTGGTAACACATCTCGGGTACTGTGTGTACCAATCAGCCGCGAGGGCAGCTCCGCGCTGGATGTGCACTTTGGGACCCACGCCTGGGCTTGCGTGGAGGTGGCTCCCTCCTGCCGTCTCTGGGGTGGTGGCTTTTCCTGGCACCACGGAGCACACACCGATTGTCGTTCCGGAGCCAGGTCGCACAACCTCTCCTTGGAGCCAGGCCCCACCGCCTTCCCTGGCCCAGGACGGAAGCAGCAGCCGGCGCCGACCCTGCACCCCCGCGCCAGCAGACGGCCCAGGACGCGGCCTGCGGTGCTCACCTGTGGTGATGTCGTGGCGGATGCCTTTGACGATGATGCGGGCGTTCTTGACCGGCTTCCCGAACCTGTCCAGCACCATGCCTTTGATGCCCCGGTGCGCCTGTAGGGACGGTGGGAGGGCGGGATGGCACGTGCTGCGCCTCCGGCCCTGTGCAAGCAGCTGAGTAAGCCACGCCCTCTCCGGGCCCCGCCTCCTGGCTGCGCCCTGGGTGGAGCCTCAGCACCTTCTGGATCAGCCAGTGACCCGTGTACCCTGGTCAGCCTGACTCTCCCGGCCTGCTTGACCAGCAGGGGCTGTAGGAACTGACCAGCGCCCCGACCGAAGGCGTCACAAATCCGTTATCCTTCTCTCCTGCGTCGTGGCCAAACCCGGCAGCGGGGGAAATCGGGAGGCACAAGTGCCCGGCATCTGTGCCGAGCGCGTCTCGAGACCTCCACCCCCGCCGTCCCCTGGGCAGGGCTGGGCCACCTGCAGGATCTGGTCCCGGCTGTGTTCCATGCCCCGCAGGCCTCACACGGGAGGCGGCCGAGCTCAGTGAGTGAGGGGGACAGCGTGGACGGTGTGAGAGCTCACTGTGCCCTGCACAACTCCGAGGTGGGCCTGGCCCGCTCTCCGCCCTCCCTTCTGGCTCACCACGCACTCGCCAGCCCCTTCGGTCCCTCGCAGCCCAGCTCGCTCTCCCTGCCCCAGGAAGCCCCCTGATGCCCGGCCTCCACAGCGGCCCACAGCCCTCGTTTCCTGTCTCCCGTCAGGCGTCCTCTGCCTTTGAGCCCACCAGGACCTGGAGGCACACACGGGCCCTCGCCAGCCACCCGGCGGCTTACACAGATTGGCGGCATTCTGTGCCCCCGACAGAGGCCTCCCTGTGCCGTGCCAGGGCACGGGCGCCCCACGCAGGGGCAGAGATGGTGCTGCCCCGCCTCCCACGGAGCATGGTGCCCGCCCCCCAGGCCTGCTCAGCATCACCATGAAAATAGCCTCAATTGGCCTCGACAGCCTCGTTGATCTTATCACTGCTGTCCGGCCTGCCCGGGGTCGACCGTCTCGGAGGCCAGGCCAGTGCTCTGGCCGCCCACTGCTGGGCACCGCCACAGATCTCCGTCTCCTGAGACCTTGCAGCCATCTCCTTGGAGCAGCCCCAGCACCGCAAAGGCTCTTTCGGGCTCATTTTGGCCAGATGGCCATAAAACAGAATGCACATCGCTCAGTTATCTAAGGATGAGGTGGAGTCTCCGGCTGGCCATAAACAAGGGGCCTGAGCCTGGAGACACATTCAGCCACTATCTGGGGCTTTGCTTTTTCCCTGTTGTTACTGCTGACCCAAGGAAGGCTGCTGATCTGTCTAGAAAGGAGGACGTCAGGACAGGACTGGGCTGGGGGCAGCAGATGCCGGGCCACAGGGACAGGGCACGCCGCTCCCCCCCACCCTACCCCTCCTCTGGCTCTCAGCCCTGCAGCCTGTGACCCAGACCTGCTCATCCTCCACTGACCCCCTATAAACAGAGCACCTGCTCCCCCCGGCTGCCCAGGGTCACCCTGTGCCACCTTCTGTTCAGGGCATTCCTGCTTCTCACGGATGCCTGTGCCAACTGGCCTTGTGTGTGACTGGACGCATGGGAGAGGGCACTTCTTGGGGACAGTGTCACCTCCCAAGCCCCTCGGGATCCGCAGTCCCTCCCTCTTCCCGGTGCTGGGCAAGGTGCAGTGGGCACCCAGTGACTGCCTCTTGTGACACTAAGTTTTGGGGAGACCTTGGCTCTCCGGTCTAGCAGGGCTTCTGTGTCGTGTCCTCCCACCCACCACCTGTTCTGTGGCTGCAGCCCCAGGACAGTCCTCCTGCAGGCACCGCCGCCCCGGCCTCTGACCCCTGGCCCTGCTCCACTCTGCCTCCCTGGCTCACGCAGTGCTTCAGTCCTTCTGCCAGACCCCTCAGTGCAGCCCTATGAGCCCCAGTGTCTCTGCTGTCCCTCGGAGCTTAGGCAGGTGTCACCCCTCCACCCAGAGCGCTCCCTGTCTCATTTCTCAGTTTCCCCTCCTTCAAGATGAAGCTGGCCAGCCACCTCCTCCAGGAAGCCCTCCGAGGTCAGTTGCACCCCTTTAGGCATGGGACCTCTGCTCACCAGGTCTGACCGTCCCCCTGGGTCCTAGCACCCCCAGGGCTCAAGGTGGCCACATGGAGCCGGGATGGAGACACAGGGCCGCCCGGGCAAGGCTGTCCCGCCCTGGCTCACCATCTCTAGGAAGCTGAGCAGCGGCTCCTTATTGTGCTGCCAGAGCCCGTACAGCGCCTCCTCGGGCGGGAACTTCATGCAGCCCAGCTCCACTGTGATCTCGAAGCAGTTGGTGTGCAGGTAGTTAAAGTCAGACATGCCTGCAGGTGGGCAGGGCAGTGTTGGGCAGAGGCCACCACGTATGCCAGTGCCCCTCGACATCTGCACAGGTGGCCATTGTCTGTCCCAGACGGCGGGGCATGGGGTTCGGGAGCGTCTGCCGATGTCCATGGAGCTGGACTCAGAACCCGAGTGGGGGTTGGCACTGCAGAGGACCTGGTGGCCTGGGCCCACACAGCCCCCGAGTCAGCAGCATGGGCACCGGCAGGCAGCAAGGAGCCCGCTCTTCCGAACTCGGGGCTGCTTGGAGCTGCTGCTCTGACTGCTGTCGGCCTCTCCCAGCTCAGCCCTGCCTGGGGGTCCTTGGCAGACCCCAGGGACAACAGAGCCATGACTGAGCTCTGGGGTCTCTGTCAGGAGTGGGGAACACAACCTGAGCTGGGTCCTGGGAGGAGGAATAGCTGTCCTGCCACAAGTGTGTCATCTGGGACAGCAGGGGAGCCTCACTATGGGGCTGACCGTGGCTTCGGGGCAAGTAGAGAGCTGGACAGGCTGCAGCAGGAGTCCCGCCCGGCCACCCAGGGCCACGGCCCAGATGAGTCTTTCCCTTGTCCTCATCTGCAGAACAGCACAACCACAAGAGCGGTGCAGGCGCAGAGCTCAGAGAAGGGATGCACGGGTGTGGCATGCGCATGCGGCCTGGCGTGGTCATCCACACGGCCCCCAGGTGCCTGTGCCTGGGACAGCTGCAGCCCGCAAGATTACAAATGCCGGGTTAGAGCTGAGGTTCAGAGGCACAAGAGGGAATTAGTGTGTGTACCTCTCGAGCTACCTTAGAGGGACAGTGTCGCCTGTGCACAGGTCACACTTATACACAGTGCGAAGCTGCGCAGTGTCTCCAAGACGCCAGTAACTGGCGTGCCAGTGCTTCACCTGGCGAGCCTGCTTAGCCACTGAGAGGCAGGGAAGGGCTGGTCACGAGCGCCATCATTAGGCAGAGGACAGAGGGCAGCCGCAGCTCACAGGGCCAGCTTGTCCACACCCTGCCTTGGGCATGGTGACACATCCCACCCCTTAGCAGAAATAGTCACTAACACAAGCCAGGCTCTGCCCAGCGCTCCCTGCCCCTACAGAGCAGTCGGGCCCCAGCCTCTGGACCCCCATCACGTTGTCACCCCAGGTGCTGAGGGCGCCCCGTCCTGCAGCACACACCTCCCGTGAAGCTGTACCAGTCGGCGCCATTGATGATGCTGCCCTGCTTCAGGAAGTTGCCCCCACACCTGTGCTCCGACCTGTCCATCATCATAGGGTGGACATCAGCGTAGGCTCTGGCCAGCAGCTTGAACATCTGAAAGGAAGGAGGGGAGAAAGAGGTCACGTCGGGCCAGGCCTGGAGAAGGTGGCTCTGCAAGGCCACACAGGCTCTGGCACAGGTGGGGGCAGAGTCCAGGCAGAGGGCATGGCAGGGGCACAGGCCTGGCAGGAGCAGCAGAAGCATCAGGGCCGCTGTGCTGGGGATGGGGAGGGGTGATTGCTGGGGAGGGCTGAGGATGGGGTCCCCAGGAGAGGACACAGTGGCAGTGTTGGCTGGTCTGCAGCTTAGCAAGTGCCCGAAGCCCAGAAAGGGGAGGCTGGGTGGAGAGACACAGCAGGGTGGGCTGCTTCTACCACCTCATCCGCCACGCCAACTTCACCAGTGAAACATCATTGCTCATCTTCCCGGCCAACCAGCACCTGGCTGTGGGCTCTGCCTGCAGGAGGCCTCTCCCCGGCACCCCTACCTCCCCCCAAACCACAAAGCATTTTCCTCCACAGCTGGTGGGGGGCATCAAACGCAGCTGGGGGCTGGCCACCCTCACCCACACGCCTGCCCGTAGGCGGAGTCATATCCCCACCGTGGACTTGCTCCTGCTTGGAGCTTGCAGGGCTCCAGGGCCTGGGACACATCTGACCTGGGGAGGGGACACCAGGAGGGTGGACAGGCAGGGCTCATCGACACGGAGCTGCCCAAGCCAGAGCAAGCAGCCTGCCCTAGTGCTCACCTGACCTGGAGGCCAGGATCCCGGCTTGGGGGAGGCAGGGGTGGGTCAAGCTCCTCAGATGCAAACCAAGCCCCAAATCCAAGGCCACTCATGCCCTCTGGTCCCCGGGGTTGGTAGATTAGGGACCGCAGCCCTTGCCACCCCAAGGCAGAGTTGCCACCCCAGAGAGTCCCCAGCCCACACCCAGCTTGTGGGGATCCATGAGGATGCATCAGCCATGGGCCGAAAAGCTTCCTGCCCAGCCCTGACCCTCAGTATCCACGAACACCTGGACACCCTCCTGCCCCTGCCCCTCTTCACCATCCCTGTCCTGGGGTCACCATCCCGTCACCAGCCAGACTGGGGTCAGGGCATGAGGGGACAGCGTGGGCTGACACAGGGCTGGAGCACAGGCCTGGGGCCAGGGGGAGCCCACCTGCTGGTAGCCGCAGTGCTGGTTCCTGGGAGGGGCCAGGAACCAGACAGAGCAGGCTCCACAACAGCAAGGGTGGAGGTGTCGTGGGTCAGGGCCGGCTGGGGCCTCAGGCCTGCTGCAGCTACCAGTTCTCACCCCGCGGGCCCCACACTTCCCCCCCACAGGCGGCCTCCCGGGGACGCTGGCGTCCAGAGGCGACGGCGTGATGGATGGGTGATCGATGCTGGGCACAGCCTCCTTCTGCCACGCCGGTGGGACTGTTGAGGTGAGTCTGCCCCGGGGGACGTCGTCATGCTCTGAGGCCGAGCCCACGAGGCAGCCCAGAGATGCCCACCCTGCCCGGGGTTGCAGCGAGGGCGACCACCCTGCAACCAGGACCTGGAGCTCCGAGCCCGGGGTGGGGGGCGCCCCTGGGCTTGCAGAGCGGGAGCAGGAGAGAGAGACAGGGAGGGAGGAGTGGGCGAGAGCGGGGATGAGCAGGGAACTGACTGTGGGCGCAGGCCTGAAGCCTCTCCGAGCCCCGCCCGGGCACAGCCCTGTCAGGAAGCGGCCCGGGCCCAGAGCGGCCCCGCCCACCCCCTCTGCCACGCCCACTCCCGATCTACCCCCGCCCACTCTCCCCTCGCCCCGCCCCCCCGTGCCGCCCCCAGCCCCGAGCGCGGCGGGGACCCACTGCCCTCCGTCCTGGCTGCCCGGGGTCCTGGGCCGCTCCCCCGGGACGGTTCGGGCCTTCGGCACCATCTGGCTCTGAGCACCTGACTGCGGGCGTCTGGGTCGCACCGACCTCAGCCTCGCTCACCCTCGCCGTGAGAGCCGCCCGCCGCCCTCCAGAGCCCCGCGCGAGCGCCAGACCCAGCGTGGGGCTCTGCAGGCTGGGGACCTCGGGGAGCCCTGTGGCTGCCCGGCCCTGTCACCTGCAGTCTAGGACCCGAGAGCGGAGGTCTGGCGGATGAACGGCGCCCCCAGACGGGCGGCCGAGGGTCAGGCCCCACGCGCGCGCGCCGCAGCAGCACCCCCTGCCGGGGCCGCCCGGACCCGCACCCTCCCGACGGCCCAGGGAGCGCTTGCCGGGTCGCCCCCAGGAGCTCCCGCGCGCGGGGACTCACCTTCTCGTCCGGCGTGGGGGAGAACATCTTCTCCTCCAGGGGGTGCTTGGAGAGGTCGAAGGGATAGGACACCACCAGGTCGCCCCCGTGGAGGCTGGCGGACAGCACGAAGGGCACTGTCCGCATCCACTTCATGACAGCCTTGGTCTCCGGGGCCACCTGCCAGGACAGAGGCGCGGCCTGCAGCGCTGGCACCGGCCCGCCGGCCGCCACGCCACGGGGGCCTGAACCTTCTCCCCTGTGTCACGGGGATGTCACCAGGATGCTTTCCCCCGGCGAGCGAGGGCCACATCCACTCAGGGCTTTCACAGCTCCTCCCTGCCTTGTCCCCAAACTGGGCAGGGGACAGCTGTGGGTGTTCTGCCCTCAGCGCAGCCAGCCTGTCAGGGCACAGCGCCTCGGTCACCTAGCATGCGGCCAGTGCTCAGCCCAGGCGGACGCCGAGCCATGGGCTCCACCCGGCAAAAGTTCCACCAACGAGCGTCAAGCGCGGCGCCACAGGACGCAGACCTGTCACCTGGCCTCGCCCAGGACGAGGGCTTCCTGAGTCCCACCCCCCCCCAGGTGGGCACGGTGCCCAGGGAAGGCCGGGGGCCGGCGCGGGCAGTGCAGCTCCTACCTTACCCCACCAGTAGTGCTCGGGGATGGGGATGTGGTCAGCGCGCGCGGCCCGGGCCCCAGCCAGCCGGTAGTACTCGGACGTGAGGTCCGGGAAGTTCCGGTTCAGGTCCAGGTTCTGCGCGTTCTTCCTCCCGCTGGTCCACCCATTGTAGCCCGCTCCCTGAAAACGCGGGCCAGGCCCAGGTCGGGCTCACACATGGCCACCCAGCTCCTTCCAAAAGGGGAACAGCTGAGCCTAAGGTCGGAGCTGGGCTGTGGCTTCCCGTGGCTCTAGGTGCCGAGCTCGGCCGCCCCTCGCCCCACACGAAGGTCACCTCCAGAGCCCAACCCCACGGCACATGTGCACGCCCACGCCCACCTTCTCCACTGCGAGTTGCCAGTGCCTGTGTCACCTTCTGGTTTTTTCGACTGGGGAGTGAAGCCGGGGCCTTTGCACTGAGCTACATCCCTAGATCTTTTTAAAGTTTTTTGCTTTGAGACAGGGTCTTACTAAGTCACCAAGTTGCCCAGCCTGGGCTCAAGCTTTCCATCTTGCCTCAGCCTCCTAAACTCTGGGGCGATAGGCTCATGCTCTTTCCAGGCCCTGGTCATCTTTTACATTTTTTCTTAGCGCATCTTTGCAATACCTAGAGATCACTCTTTGTGGGCCGCTGGAACGCGGACCTGACTCATCTTAATTCTTTTCCATCTCCCCTCCCTCTATCTCTCGGGCCCTTCCCATCTGTGAATATCTATGTCCCTGTTTCCTGTTGTCTACCTTTTAGCTTGCTGTTTATATTTTGGGTTTCCCACGTAAGAGAAACTATGTGGTTTCTTTTTAAACCATGTGATTTTTAAGCTTATGTGTCTGATTTATGTCATTAGCATCATGGTCTCAAGGTGCATCCATTTTCCTACAGATGACTCAAGGTCATCCCTCTTTATGGCAGCCTAGTATTCCCTGGTGTGTAAATACCACACTTTCTTCATCCACTCATCTGCCGATGGACATACAGGCTGCTTACAATATTTTTTTTTTTTGGTACTGGGGATAGAACTCGGGTCCTTGAGCTTGTGCAGCAGGCGGCGAAACCACTGAGCTAAATCCCTGGCCCTGCTTCTAAGATTTTTTTTTAACACGCCATAGAACTATCGGTCCCTGCCTCCCCCTGCGCCAGTGAGATGCCTGCTTAATCCCTGTCACCTGGAACCCTGGACACACACATGCCCTCTTCAGCAACCAGAGGATCACGGCTGAGGGAGGGCAGCAGGTGCTCACCTCGGCTGCTGCCACCTCATAGCCGTCAGGGTTCATGGAGGGCAGCAGGTGGATGCGGGTGGTGTTGAGCAGGCGCTGGATTCGAGGGTTTCCCAGCAGGTACTCGGAGCACAGGTACTGCGCCAGGTAGATGAGCATCTCGCGCCCTGCCACCTCGTTGCCGTGGATGTTGCCGATGAGCTTCACCTCGGGCTCCACTGCGGAGACACAGTGACCTGGGCATCACCTCATGGCCCGAGGGCCCCAGCCTTGAGCACACTCAGCAAGGGGACCCGGTGTGACTCAGGATCTCTGCACACGATGAGGTCTTCCCGAGGTGGTCCGTTTATCGAGCTCATTTCTTATGTTCAGTGTGGTTCCCAGCATGGTGAGCCAAGCCGCTACTGATAATTTATGGTGTCACAGACTTGTGAGATTTCCGTGGAAAGCCACTCTCTGCATCTGAGCAACACAAGCATGTGGCACTCAGCTGGGAAGGGAGCTGGCGCAGGGTGGGCGGGAGGACGGATGGATGACAGGTTGTGGGAAGATGAGTGGGCCGGGCCTGGCAGCCTCATTTGCTGTGTGACATGGCTCACGGTGCTCACCTGGAAAGTGGCACCTCCCTCCCCCGCCACGTGTGACGCGCTGACCCTCAGAGACGGTGTCCCTCGGCTCCCCAGGAAGGGAACCAGGTCTCTACTGGAATGTCCTGGATTCTCTGGAGCAGCCAGTCCAAGCAGCCCGCTCCCCCACCCCCCAGCAGCAGCATTGTAGACCACGAAGCTTGGTTTCCTAACTGCCTGGCTAGAAGGCAGGAACCACGGGACTGCCACTCCCTATACTGCCCCCTGCTGGCTCAGAGTGGAATGAGCCCTCCAGGCTGGAGTATGCCAAAGTTTTGAGTTTTCCAGATGGAAAAGCCACTGTGTCTACGCGACCAGCAGGCAGCGCAGTCCCCAAGCAGTTTGGCAGAGTGTAGGGAAAGTGACCAGGACCCAGGTCTCACTGACCTGCTCGGCCTGGTCCTCAAGGGCAAGACCAAAACCAGTCTTGCTAAGCTGCCCAAACTGGCCTTGAAACTATGATCCTCCTGCCTCAGCCTCCCAAGTGGCTGGGATTGTAGGCATGCACCACCACACCCCGCCTGGCATCTGTCTTAAACCTGTCATTGGTCCCACACCTGCTCCATCCTTTGCAGCCAGCGTCTCCACTGTGATGCAAGAGCCCCTCTCACTTCCCCAGATTCCCGGGTGGAGTTGGCATGTGGGGAGGTCCTCCTTGTCTATTCAGCAGTCCCTGAGGGACGCGGCCATGCACCAAGCAGAGCCCCAAAGCCTCACCCCACCTGGTACCCCAGACCTCCCTCCCCCAGCCTGTGGGCCTTCCTGGAAGCCCAGCCTCCCACGCGGCACCTACTGAGCTCGTGCTGGCTGGGGTGGCCTGAGAACTCAATGACCAGCAGGTCCTTGCCGTCGAAGCTGCGCCCGATGCTGTACGTGTTGGCCACCTGGGCACAGCGGGCCACCGTCCGCTTCAGCACCCTCACCATCTGGGTGTAGGAGTGGTGGGCAAAGCGGATGAAGGTGGGCGGCAGGCCCGAGGGCAGGGCCTCCTCAGGCTCCAGGTCACCTGGGGACAGGGGGACGCCAGGCTGGGCACTGTCCTGTTGCCAACGGCTCCCAGCCCGCCCTCGGCCTCCCCAGCTGCTGCCTGGGGACAGACACCAGCCTCTCCAGCACCAGGCACCCACTACCCTGCAGCGGGCAGGGAGGGGAGCCACGCATCCCCCTGCACGGCTTCCAGTCTGCGACATCTTTCACTGCGACTCCCAGTGGAAGCTCCTAACCTTGACAGCAGCCAGTGACTGTGCCTGAGAGCCTGACGCACACTGGCACTAGCACAGTCCCCAGTGCTGCAGGACGGAGGCGAGGGAGGACTCCCGGAAGGCACTCTGTGCATGAAGCCTCCACCCTGGAAACCTGCCGCCCTGCCTCTTGCTGGACTGTTTTCTGCCACTGCCCACTCTGACCATGGCACCTGTGTGGCTTTGCATCCCAGACCGAGGGCAGATGTGGCAAGAGTGGTTCCGGGGGCTCCTCACAGCCACCACCAAGCTGGCACTGAGTTCCCTGCCACTTCCAGGAGCAGAGGGCAGGGCGGCAGGCCCCAGCCGGGCCCCAGCAGCCTTCCCTGGGGACTGTCCTCGGCCCCAGCGACTCCACCCACAGCCGCCAGGGCCCACAGTTAGCCGTTTCCCTGAGCCACTCACAGAGCTGCGGTTTTGCTTCTGCTCAACGTGGTCATTGAGGGAGGAAGCAGAGGGAACCAGAGCTGCCCAAAATAATCTCTCAAGCTGGCTGCTCGGGCTTCCCTGGACAGCGGGCTCGGCCTGCCTGGGAGACGCCTGGCTTCTGTCCTGGGCCCCGCTGGCCGCCTCCTCACTTGCTCAAGAGCCCGTCCTCACACAGCTGTCCCCGGTCCACGTGAGGCCATGCTGGCCTCTCTCCAGGAGCACGAGGCTCCAAGCGCCAGGATCAGCCCCCGCGCCAGCCCAGAGACCCTGTCTGGGGCCGGTGTCCCCTCCCCTGCCACCTCCCGCCTCCCAGTGCAGAGATGAGGACGCAGTAGGTGCTCAGTAGCTGACCAGGAATGGGTGACTGGCCCGTCCACCGATGGCCAGCCGGGTCACCCCAGAGAGGTACCCTGTGCTGTCTCTCCTCCCTGAGCCCCCACTCCTCATCTGGGACAGGAGGTAAGAACTCAAGCTGTAACGCCACAGGGCCCCGCCGCCTGGCCCGGAGAGGCTGCTGCCCCTCGCTGCCCCGCACGGCATGCCGGGCTCACGGCTGCTGAACCACCACTCATCATCAGCGTGCAATCAAAGGAATGCACCCGGCCCTGACCTTACCAGCCAGCCTCCAGGAGTGGAGGCCCACACATGGCAGGGGTTGGCCCTGCTGGAACCCTCTGCCCACCACAGAGTCATGGCGATGCCACAGCCAAGCCCCAGGTAGGACCTGTACCCCTCGTCATCGGTGAGCAGCTCACTGACCCCCGGCCTGCCAACCCCTCCCCTGGTCCCTCAGAGCCAAGACTCTGGCGCCTGCCTGTCCCTCCCTGGCTTCCAGGAGCTGCCCTGCACCCTGGGCCTCGCCTCACCCCGAAGCTGCTCCAGGGGGTCAAAGCAGCCCTCTTCCTTGGGCGCGAAGTAGCGGGCGCAGTCCAGGAAGTAGGGCCAGGCCATGTCGATGGCATCGAAGGCTGGCTGGCAGGCCTCCTGCAGGCCCTGGCACACGTGCCGGCAGGGTCTCCGAACCCGGGAACCCTCGCACCGGGGAGCCAGCACCGCACAGCCCAGCAGCCGCAAGTCGGGGTTGCACTGGCCCTCCAGGAGGTGGTGCAGCACACTCAGCAGGATGTACTCGGAGCTGGCCTCCACAGCCTCTCGCGAGCGGTGCTCCAGCGCAGTGGGGAAGGTGGTCTGGTTATAGGTAGCACCCGAGCAGGTCGTGAGCTGCAGGTTCACGCAGGTGGCTGGAAGGAGGCAGGGTCCACAGGTCACCCGATGGCCCATGCTCAAGTGCACCCCCTCTGGGGCCAGACCCTACACAGATCGGGGTACCCACAATCCCAGGGGAGGGGACTGGGGCCTGTGGGAGCCTGAGAACGCTCTTGCATTGGAGCTCAAACGTCCCCCAAACTTCCAGTGTTCAGGTTCTCAGAAGGTGATGGGATCATGGGGCTCTAACTTCACCCACGAATTCATCTGTGGACCATATCTGTTGGCGTCATTGGCAGGTGATGGGAATAGGAAGTGGGCCTAACTGAAGGCAGTGGGTCATGGGCATGAGGCTTAGCTTGCCCCAACCCTTCCTCTCTGGCTCTTCGGTCCCTCTCTGCTACCTGCCCACCGTGCTGTGAGCAGCTGTCCTGCTCCACACCCTTCTGCCTCGTCTCAGGCCTACAGCAATGGGGCCAGCTGGCCATGGACTGAACCTCTGGAACCATGAGCCAGAATAAACTCTTCTCCTGCAAGGTGATTTTCTCAGGTGCTTTGTCACAGCAACAGAAAGCTGATGGCACAGTTCCTAGGCCTGGCTGTGCAAATCCCGAAGCAGGGCAGTCCCCACAGACACACCCTGCATGGCCTAGCCTGTGTCCCCCAGGAAAGGGCTGGCCCTCAGTGGCCAGTCTGGGCTCAGGTTCTCCGCGAGGGGCTGAGTAAGGACAGCTGGACGTCACAAGGACACTGCAATCACAGGCCGAGGTGGGCAGGGACTGCTGTGCTAATCACTGCAGCAGCTTCCCCCCACCCCAGCTCCCACCCACGCCCGCTCCTCTCCTCCCCACCAGGCACCCAGGTGTGGTGTGTGGCACGTGGCCTGAGATTCTGCCACTTCTGCATGCTAAACCTTAGAAAGGCCAGGGCTCCTTCTGCTCAGCTTTTCTCTGCTCAGAATGCTGGTCTATGGCACTGACTTTGCATTGAGGAATCTTTCCTGGTTTGTTGAAGATCGTGTCCCTCCAGGTAGAAAATACCAAAGGCCCAGACTGGTGGGGAAAACCTCTGCCTGTCTCAGAAAGTCGCCCTTGACCTCGGCCCTCTCCTGAGTATTTCGGACACCTAAGCTTCAAAATCACCTGTGAGATTCCTCGACACTTTCCTCATTTTACAGAGGAAAGCGGGATGAAGGGGCAGCACCTGCCCAAGTCCATGGGCTCAGCAGGGGCCGGGCAGAGCTGCAGCCCCGGGAAATGGAGCACTGGGCTGGGCCAGATGTGTGTTAGTGTGTGCGCAGCCTGGTTCACACCAGCATCCCACCCCCAAAATAGAACATGTTAGGATGAGAGGTAACGGGGTGTTGCTCAGCCCCAGAGCGGACCAGGGCAGGGGACAGGAGCTGCATGGCAGGCAGAGGGAGGACGGGGCCCCTGCAGGCACTCGGTGGCCAGCCCTTGCCCATGGGGCCGTCTGTCCTGCGTCTGGCCGACTGTCTCTCGAGCTTCCGGATCAGGGGCTCAGAGCTGAGGAGCAGGCCCTGCTCTGTCTCCCACTCTGGGAACCATGGCTCGGCTCTAAACTGGAGGCTGCGGCACACCTAAAACCCAAGCCAGGGAGTCCAGGTACGCACCGCTGTCAGCAGCCGCTGGCCCATGGCAGTCACCTGCAGAGAGAGAGGCCCCTGCATCAGGCACGCCCCTGGATGGCGGCAGCGTGGCTGCTCTGTCCACAGCCCGGAGTCACCGCGCCCTCCCCCGGCCGCAGCGCATGCCGTCCTCGCCTCGCCCTTGGCTGGAGGGGGCAGCACCCCCACTTCTGGGTGAGGACCGTCTGACTGGGCTAAGGACGGCCACCCATGGCAGTGTGGGTCTAAGTGTGGGTCTGGCCCCGTAGCCTGGACGGCCGGCAGGGTGTGAGTGGCCCAGGCCCGTCAGCCTCCCATGGGCAGCCCCAGTGCCGGCCGCAGAGCACCGAGTTCTGCAGGCTCTGACTTCACGTTACTCAAAGCCCCTCCGAGGCCCAGCGGGGCGTGGGCTGCCTGTCTGGGACACTCTGCAGGGGGTGGGGTCTCGCCCATATGGAGCTGGGGACCCCTTCCCCAAGCAGAGGATCCCTCACAAAGCTATCTTTGCAGCAGTGGGGTTTCAGGGGCCCCAAAGCCAGCCACAACACCCCGAAGCGGTGAGGTGCTGTCCCCACCTGGGACAGGGCCACCCCATCCTGAGCCTCCACCAGACAGCTCACTGAGCTCTCACAGGATGGCGACACTGGGCTCTGAGCCTCTGCCAGGTGCCCAGGGGATGGCTCATCCCCGCGTGTGACACGAGAGCCACGCAGACCCTGGGGGTGTGCACTGGAGCGCGCCCCGCTCGTGGGAGATGCCTGCTGCCCTGGGATTGTCTCCCCCTTGACCCACCATGGGGGTAGAGAAGGTGCCTGGCCCTGGCCCCTGCTGGCTCCGGCCCGACTCCCTCACATGGGGGCCCCGGCCAAGACCAGCTCATGCTGCATCTTTAGTGCACACGGGGTTTGCATTCGTCACCTTGGGGTACTGTGGAAGGAAGGCCGAGGGGTGCCCACATTCAGTGGTGCCACAGAACCCTGTGCTTGGCTGGGATGCTGCAGGCCAACCCTAGCCCAGGGCAGGCGGCCTCTCCACAGCACCTGAAGACAGCAGAGCAGGCCCAGCCTGTGGGCGCCACAGCGTCCACGTGACGGCCTCGCGTCTGTGCATCTCCGGGCAGCAGGCTGCACCCCGGGCACTCCCAGGCTTTGCGGCCCTGAGTGTCCCCCCCCGCACTGCCCACCGAGGGCCGAGGGCGGCACAGTGGGGAAACTGACACTTGAGGGAACAGAGGAAGCAGGAGAAGCCGCCAGGGCCCGCCCAACTTCGCATTGGCTCTGCCTCTCGGGCAGCTGCAGACCCTGGAAGGAGGGGTCAGCATCCAGGTGGAGCCCACAGAGCCCCTGCCCACAGGGCCAGCACGATGTCCTTGTGCAGTGCCTGGGCACCGAGAGCTTGTGCCTGAGGCTGCAGTCTGAAGCTTGCTCGCACCAGGGCCCACGACCAGCCATGGGCTGCTGGTCCCGTGCTGAGCTTGGACGAGGGCAGACGTGTGGGGAGCTGCTGCGTCCCGTCCCTCGGCTGTGACTGTCACTGGCTGCACACCTGGCCCAGGTGGCTGTGTGCACTGGGAGACGCAGCACACACTAGACAGCTCAGCGAGTGGAAGAGCCACCTCGAACTGGCCCAGGGCTTCTGCTGCCTCAGGGAAACCCAAGGTGAGGCCACCAGGAGCCAAGGAGTCTGTCCCACACCTGCTTCCAAGGCACCAAGCGCCCCCTGGAGGGCCACGCAGAGACCGCAGCCCCTGGTTTCACACGGCTTCTCTGAGGTTTACAGATGAGGAAGCTGAGCTCCGGGGACTAAGTCCTGCTGTGTGCCTCAGTTTCCCCATCTCACACTGAGACAGCAAGAGCGCTCCTGTGAAGCTGCTGCGGACCCAATCAGGCCAGAGGTAGGCAGCACCTGGTGCCACGTGAGTGCCTGACATGCTCCATCCGAGTTCTGAAGTGACTGCCACCCACTCCTGGTGTCCTCCACGCAAAAGGCAGATGGGCAGGTGACGACGGCACGGTCCCTGCTCTGAGGAGGGCCCTCGTCTCCCTCCGGGTCACTCAGGGAGAGGGTGGGGCCTTCTGTGCCTGCACCTGTCCTTCCAAGGACACTGGCCGCTGGGTTTAGGGCTCAGCGGGGTCCACTCCGCTCTCATCTTGGCTGTGACTTTAGTCTAAGTGAGGTCACATGCACAGGTCCCAGGTTAGCACACAAGCGTCCCTTGTGGGGGACACAACCCAGCCATCACCAGCAGCACAGGGCCCCGTGGGCTTGGTCTCTCTGGGCCGCTTTTCTGTCCACAAGTGAGGGAGGGACCCACCCGGGAGGGACCCACCCGCCCGCCTGGCAGCCACAGGATGCCGAGGCCGGGGACACTATGGATGGCTGGTTCCACCGCTGCTGTCACCTCCATGGAGCCGCCTCAGGCGCCACCCTGGCCCCTGGCCCCGCAGCCTGGGGAACAGAACAGGAGGGGAGCTGGGTCCCCACAGCCCAAAGCCACCTGGCCACTCTGTCAGCCACAAGCCACACGTGCTGCTGAGGGCTTGAAACTCAGCAAGGTGAAGCCAGCAGGCACTGCACGTGTGAGAATACACTACAAACAGGAGAAAAATGTCTCCCAAGAACTGCACATTAACCACAAAATATCGGAATGATACTTTGGGTGTATTGGGCTAAAACTTTGCTGTTAAAATGAATTTCACCTGTTTCCTAGTATGTCTCCTGTGTGACAACCAGGACACGGAAAACGGCAAATGTGGCTAGCAGCCCATTTCCCGGGAAGGCGCCCGGCTGGAGGGGCTGGAGAGTCCGCGGTGACTACGATGCCCCTTGACCACCAGGTGGCAGCACCCCTTAACCTGGGAAGGAGGGCGCACGTCCCTCCTCCCCCTTAAGGCACTGTAGGCTGCTCCTCCCGGACAGGTCCTCTATCAGAGTAGAACACTGAGTGAGGCCAGGGAGGGCGGTCATCTTCTCCAGGTCCCACCGCAGAGTAGAGCCGCAAATTTGAACCCAGAGCCAGACCCGGGAGAGGAGACCAGGGTGCTGGGCAGACCGGAGTCCTGGTCCGAAGACTGGACTTGACCTCCAGGCTCATCTGCAAGGAGGGAGACGAGCCACCTGGCAGATCCCTGGTGGAAACCCTGGCTGGGGCCACGGAGGTGCTGCAGGAGGAGGGAGCCCACACCGCCGGGCCTGGGCGGGCTTCCTGGAGGAGGGCTGGGTCCCCGGAAGCCTGTGTGTCTGGACACTTTCTGGGAGCTTGGGGCACAGGGAGGACGGCGAGGACGGCCCCGGGACCCTGTGCTGTCCACCCCACACACTCATGGGGGGCGGCTGGGCTGAGCGAAGGCGGGAGGGCGCTGGCCCCACAGGGCACCTCGTTCCCAGCATGCACCAGCCGCGGCCATTCACAGGTGTCACAAACCTGACACGGGGACCCTCAGCCCCGGGACCCAGCCCTCCAGGAGCACAGGCACCTGCGGCTGATCAGAGCCCGGTGCCCTGGATGGGGCACCACAGGCAGGGCCACTGGAGCCAGCTTCCGGCGGGGGGATGTGGCCAGCACTCAGGCCCCAGCTATGGGGACCTGGTCAGCCGAGGCCACTCGGAGCGCGCTGGTCCTGGTCACTCCGGTCTCCCCACCCCAGGCCGAGCACTCGCCCTCTGCCCTCTGTCCTCAGTGCCTGCCCTGATGCTGTGGTCACATCCCAGCCACAGCCTGTGGTACCAGGCCCTCCCCCGTCCTGGAAGGACCCCAGGGCCAGCTCGGTCTCCTGCCGCGCACAGTCCTGGCACCTGTTGGGAGGCCGTCTGCAGGCACTGCACCCTCTCTGTGCCCACACAGCTGGGGTCCTGCGCTGCGCTCTGCCGCCCCCAGCCTCAGCTGTCTGGCGCCCCCGGGGGTCCCCACCTCCATGCACTAAGAGACCCGGGTCCCTCCTGGGCAGAGTTCCCTCCCGGGGTCCTGGGGTGCACTCTGGGGACCGTCAGCCTGGCGGGGTCTGTCGCATGGCCAAGGGGCTAGAGTTCCTGGCCGGGGGTGCGCTCTGCCCAGTAAGGGGACGGCGGACCTTACCGGTGGCAGCCAGCGCGACCAGCAGGGCGAGCGGCAGCGGCAGCGGCAGCATGGTGGGCGCGGTGATGTGGCACTGGGCTCCCGGCGCTCAGGGGGGGCTCGAGGCCGCGCGGGAGTCGGGTTACAGGGCAGCGTCAGACGCGCAGAGGGGATGCGGCGGGGAGGAGCAGCAGATAAACGGGCAGCCCCCAGCCCGAGGGGTCCCGCCCCCACGGGAACCGGGCCGCCGCCCCCCGCCCTCCGTGCCGTGGGAAAAACCCTGCTCCCGGGACAGGACGGCGGGTGGGGGCGGCCGGGGAGCCAGGCTGGGTCGCCCGTGCTGGGCCTCGGCCCCGCCTCCCCGCACTGTGGACCCACCCAGAGAGCAGAGTGGGGAAGCAGGTGGCCCTGCAGCCCCTCCGCCTCCCCTTCCCTAGAGCAGGGGTCAAAGGCGAGGTCTAAACTGCACCTGGGGACCGAGAGGCCCCCGCCTCCGGGAGCCCCCTGGGAGGAGGCCCGGCCGGGCCGGTGGGGGGCCCTGAGCCCGGCTCCTCCCGGGCAGGACCGGCTCCTGCCGCAGGCCGGCCGTCTGCACCGCGACTGCACGTCCGCCCGTGCTGCGCCCCAAGCCCGGGCCGGCCCCAGCTGACCCGGGACCACCCCCCCACCGGATGCTTCGCGCGGCCGGGCGTCCGCAGCTCAGTGCTGCCCTCTGTCGTCTGGACTCCGCCCTCGCCTCCTGTGCCCGGCCGGCCCCAGGGAGGGAGCTGCGGCCGCAACACGCGCGGATCCAGGAAAGCGGCCCGCGGGGTGGGCACTGGGCACCGCCCGGAGAGTTTGGTTTACTCTGATTGGCTGATCCATGATTGCTTGATCGGTGGCATAGAACTCAGGGACTCGCATATGCCAGGAGAGCACGGGAGCCCTAAGCTACACCCCAGCTCCTGTTTGGTATTTTTAACAGCTTCCTGGACATGTACCTTTAGGTATTATTATTCCTGAGAATATTTTATTTGAATTGCACATTATGATTCACAAATCACTTCTCTTTCTTTTTCTTTTTTCTTTTTTTTGACAGTACTGGGGAGTGGACCCAGAGCCTTTGCGCTGAGCTGCATTTCCAGCCCGTTTTTACTCTTTATTTTGAGATGGGGTCTCATTAAGTCACTCAGTCACTCAGTTGGGATTGAATTTGTCATCCTCCTGCGTCAGCCTCCAGGCACGCACCAGCACAGAGGCTGCAGACATTTCTCAGAAGCGTCTTTCCAGAGGGAGGTGCAAGGACCAGCCACACGAGGCCTGGCTGTTTGGGAAGAAATCTGCAGGCGCCAGCACCTGCCTCTGCCTGAGGACCTCGCCCACAGGCGCTGCTGCCTGCACAGAGCCCCGAGAGCCGCTCCCAGGACCTCCTGGCCTCGGTGCAGGCTCCAGGTAGGGGTGGCGCACGCGACGTGCTCTGTGCCTGCAGATCCGTCCTGCTGCTGGGCCTGCGGTCACACGGCCACCTGACTTCTGGTGGACAGCGGGACATGGAAGCCTCCACTGAGCCTCCTCGGGGCCAGACCCTGCTGTGTCCCCAAGTTCCCAGACAGCACCCTGGGGATGGTCAGAGACCTGGGAACATGGCCGACTGTGGTAGTGCCCAGGCGGAGGACGCTGCTCCCACTGCTCCAACCCGTGCCCCCCGCCCACCCCAGGACCCAGCGGGGGCTGTGGTTGGGGACCAGGGCCTGCCCGCCCCTCTGGCCCCTGACCTAGGCCACTGTTGTGGAGTTCCTGCTCATCCTGAACCAGCAGCCACGTGGCCTCGGTGGAGAGGACAGGTCCCCGTGTCACCGGCCCCTTGGCCACGTGGCTCAAGCAGACCCCTCACCCACCCAGTCTGGATGCCGCATCCCAGACGGAGCACAGCTGCCCCCATCCCCAGCCCGGTGAGTGGGTCAGGAGTGGGTTGAGGGCCAGGCTGCCCAGTGACAGGCACCCCATGAGGTCCCAAGCCCCCGACCACGCTCACAGGGACAGCATGGAGAGCAGAAGGGACGCTGCTAGTAGCCAGCCCGTGGACAGAGACGTCAGCTGGGGCCGCCCTGACCATCCCTGGCAAGCACAGCCACCTCCTTGCCCAGCAGGGCAAAGCCACGGCCCCTGAGCCACACAGCCCAGCCAGGGCCAGAGCACCTCAGCCTGCACCTTCCCCACCCGCTTCCCACACACGGCCACCCACGCACACCTCCTCCTCCCCTCTTCCCCCTGCCGTCACCTCTGCCCACAGCCACGCCCATCCTCATGGGGTCCTGGACGGGGCCCTCTGGCTCCACACCCCTGCAGGCTGGAGCACGGGCCTTCCCACCTCCCCGCCTCCCCGCAGCGCCAACACTCAGAGCAGTCACAGGCGTGCCCTGACCAGGGACAGCCACCCTCTGCCAGCGCTGGCAGCTCAGGATCAGGGCCACTAAGGCCAGGGCTTCCCCACCAGCCTGTGAGTCCCCCAGTTAGGGTTCAAGTCATAAGTGTCCCCCAATATCTCCTGTAGCAGAGGCGGAGCTTCTGCAGGCAACTGGATCACAGGCGCTGCCTGAGCAATGGTTTAGCCCCAGAGGAAGTCATAGCTCCCGGGCTGCCAAGAGGTGGCCAGGCAGAGGAAGGTGGGCACTGTGGTGGGACCTGGAAGGGTACATCTTGTCCTGGTGTCTCTGTCTCTCTCTGTCTGTCTGTCTCTTTCTCTGTCTCTTTCTCTGTCTCTCTCTCCTTCCTGGCCGCCCATGCTATGAGCAGCTGTCCTGCTCCACATCTGGCTGCCATGCTGTTTCTACCTAATCACCAGCCTAAAGCAAGGAGCTAGCTGACCATGGACTGAACCTCCAAACCCATGAGCCAGGATAACCTTCTCACCCTTTAAGTTAGCTGCATTATCAGCATTTGTCACAGTGATGGAAAACTGACTGAGAGACTTCCCCACCACCACTCCTGCCTCCAGGGAGCCCACCATCAAGCAGGAGAGAGGCAGGTCTCATACCATCATGGGCCGATGGAGATGCAGACTCAGCTGGAAGAGTCCGAGGAGGGAGGAAGGAGCACCTCTTACCCTGGGGAGCGAGGGAAGCCCCTTGGTTAAGCCCCTTGGGGCTGGAAGCCAAGCATCTACCTCTGGGACTCAGGCCAGTGGGGACCTGCCAAGAAAGAGTCCAGCATGTGTGTCCCCTGCACATTCAGCACCTTTGTGTCTTGTTGTCCTCCCCCCGCCAAGCACTGCAGACTCCAAGGCACACACCCCAGGGACTCGCTCCTTGCCACTGTCTGAACAAGTAACCCAAGGCAGGAAGCCAGGCAAGAAGGGAAGAACCATTGTATCCCAGATTCCTACCTTCTTGCTTCATCCATGCAAATTGGCGGGCCTGGGGACCTCAAGTGGTGCCCAACCAGGTGAAATGCACCTTCATGGTGTCTACAAAAGACTGTCATGAGGAGCCCACTCCTGACAACAGTTCCCAGAGAAGACACTGAGACAGTTTAGCAAGCGCGAATAACTGGACTAAAGGTAATAGAAAGAACCTTCTCCTGGATACATGGCTTCCTGGGGTGAAGCTGTCAGCCACATTTAAGCTGCATCCACCTCACCCAGCTGATTCCTGTGCCCCACCCAGAATGCTGCCCCCTCCTCACCCACCCACACTGCGACACCACCTGCCCCACCTGCACTGTTTGCCATCAGACCCCAGAGCCCATCAAAACAGAAACACAATAACCAACACCCACAGTTTAAAAGAGGTGAGATTTATTTTGGCTCATGGCTTCAGAGGGTTCAGTCCATGGTTGGCTGGCTCCCAGGCAGAAACGTCATGGCAGAAGGGCACAGTGGAGCAGTGCTGCTTGGTTCACAGTGCAGGAAGCACAGCAAGGGGAAGAGAACCAGAGAGGAAGGTCCCTCCAAGGTCACGCCTCCCTGGCCCACTCAGACACACCTGGGAGTGTGTTTCACCAGTCCCCAGGCAGATTCCAAAGTTTATACACACCCTAATGGGACCAGTCCAATAGCTCGCCACGTGGAAGTGCTCTGCAAATGCTTAATGTGAGCATGAGGCATAAATCACCTGAGTGCCATGCATGACACTGAGAGGTCACCTGGGACCCATGCTTCCTATGCAGGGCCCTGGCAGCAGAGCCACCAAGCAGGCACGTGGGGACCTCAGTCAGCTGGTTCCTCGGGAGCCATGCAGCAGGCAGGCCTTGGGCTGTGTTTGGGACTCTTCCTCTGCACACACTTATAGACATGCATGTTCACACATAAACATGCAAGCCCTACACACTACATGAAAATAGTACTGAGAGCCACAAACCAACATAGCTTTGTGGCTGAGTAAGTGGGGCCCTCTAGACTCCAGGCACACACATGTGTATGTGTGTGCATGGCAGAGGTGGTTGCTTGTGTGCTTGCTGAGTGGAGCCTGGCAGGGAGGGCAGGAAGAGAGGCACTAGGGCTGAGCTGGAGGGAGGCAAGAAAAACGTCCAGGAAGCTGAGGCAGCACTGAGAAGCAGCATGAGCTGCAGCCAGTAGCAGGTGGCCTGGGGATGGGGTCCCCGAGGTGGTCCACACAGCAGTAGCCCACACAGCAGCACTGTAGGCTGGGATGGCAACCGTTGCTCAGCTGGGCACTGGCTCCTCACCTGGCCTTCGCCTGTCCTGGTTCAGCTCCAGACAGGCGACACAGCGGGGCATGGGCACATGGCTCCCTGGAGGCTGAGAGCCGGCCAAGTCCAGGGTACGGGTGCTGACCACACGTGCCTCCCATGCCACAGATCACCTGGCCCCAAGTCTCCCTTCTGTGGCTGAATCCAGGCTGGAGGACATGGGGTGCAGGGGCGACAGCTCTTCACTGCCATTTTGTCTTTCTGCCCCTCCTGGTGGCATGGCAGGAGGGAGCTCCACACCCCTCTTCTGACCGTCAGTCCCTGTGATGGTCGCACCACCTCCTGGTGGTGATGCACGCACAGTTTGGAGCAAGCCAGCAAGTCCCCACCCCTGGGCACACCGCCCCGCTGGCACCAACTATGGTGATCTGGTGGCTCCTGGGGGTGCTGGAGAGGGACAGGGCAGAGGCCGGGCCACAGGGACCCAGGGTGTCTCCCCAGCCCGACTCCAGTGCACAGCCGGGACCTGGACTACAGTTTGTGGCTCCTGGAAGGGCAGCGAGAGGGAAATAAGGTTGGGAGTGGGGAGGAGGGGCTGGGCAGGAGGGGATGAGAGGGGAGGGGTTGGGGCCGCTGTGCAGGTGTCTCTGGGCCCCGTGCTGCCCTCCTCTGCCCGGGGCAGGGGTGCTGGCCCCCACGCCTGCTTCCGTGGCTCAGAATTAGTCACCATGGGACTTAGTCACTGCCAAGCCCTTCAGCAGCCAGTGGGCAGGGCGAGGGTCAGGAGACCCTGCAGCAGGAAGCCTCGTGTCATCTCCACCCTGGGGTAGCCCTCGCCCCATGCCCAGGGCCACTGGGGGTCAGACTCAGGCCTTCTGGCTGCAAACCCAATGTCTCTGTCCTGCAGGGTGCAACCTGGACAGCTCCACGTGGCCTCTGTCCATCAGACAGCAGCCACCTCCCTCCCAGCCTGCTCTCAGTGAGATTCTCACCATGACCACCTTGC